ATGTTAATCTTCTGGAAAAGCAATCAAGAAGACCCATTTTCTTTACAGTTTTTACTTTTGTTGTGAAGCCCATTGATAGAATCTCAGATTAATTTACTTCTTCTTTTGGTCAATACATGTTACAGCAAAAAAAAAAAAAAAGTTTCATCTTAAGAAATCGAGAATTTCTGGTAAAAAGCAATAAGGAAAGAGGGGAGAGGAAAAAAAGAGAAGGAGAGAGGAAAAAAAAAAAATAGAGAACGAGAGAAATATATTAAGACTTGATATGAATTAAAATTAATAGGTTAATAGTTTATATAAGTTAATAATAGGTCAAATTATTATTTTTGTTCATAATTTATCTGATTATGAACTATAATTTGACAAATTATTATTCATAAATCACGATTTTTATTCATAATTTGACTGACTATGAACTATAACTTAACAAATTTATTCATAATTTATCTGATTATAAATAATAACTTAATAAATTATGACCTATTAATTCCTATAACTAAAAATTAACTTATATACTTCCTTAAAATTTTCATATTAATTTATTTTCTATTATTTCCGTAAAAAAAAAAAAACACAAAAAAAAAAATAAAAGTCAGGAAAAAGAATAAAGTTTTGGATCAGAATGAGCTTAGTGGTAAAGCCATTTTAATTCTCAATCTATAGTGGATACGCTGCGCGCTCAGTCGGCCACTAGCTACTAATTATAAAATACAAAATAAAGTCGTTAATTTTATTAATTTAAATTTTATTATAGTTAAATTTTTTTATAAAAAATAACATATAATTTACTTTTGTTATAATTTAAAATTTTTATATAAAATTATATTTAAATTTAAATTAAAAATTTAAATGAATGAATTAAATGAGACTTAAATAAACCGTGGTAAACGTGCTTAATGGAGGTGTCCTAATTAGGTAAGAAAAATATTATAATATTGTTAGTCCAATAATTGCCGCGCTATATTTACTGTAGTCAAGAGCAGCTTAGTTGTAATCCACCACCTCGTCAGAAGCGGACAAAAAAGAAGGTTGATGCTTGATCAGCAAAAAAGATAGCATGAAAAGCTGTGCTAGGAATGATTGAGATATGTGGGGTTCAACAAATTGAAATAAATGAAAGATAATATTTAATATAGAAATTGTGTTAGAAATGATTGAGTTAAATAAATTAAAAAAAAAGAAGATATTTCAATTGGATGGATGCAATCAAATCGTTAATGCATATAAAAGTTCCGTTTATTTTCTTGATTTGAGTTTAAAATTTGAGTTTTGTTACAGTAAAAAGTTCTCAGAAACAGTTACATCTAACTTTTTTGTTACAGTAAAAAGCTCTCACACAAAATCACATCTCAACTCGAATTACAAACTCGAATCAACGAAGTGAACGGGTCTAAAATTTCATTCGTTTTGTTGGTTTAAAATTTTAATTTAATTTAAAATATTATATTTTTTAAATTTTTTAATTATAATAAAAAAATTTAAATGTGATATTTTTTAAAAAATTTTAACCGTAAAAATTTAAAATTAAAAAATTAAATTTATAAAATAAAGAGATTAAAATGTCTAAAAAAAGTCAAGCATGTAAATAATATAAAATGCTTAAAAGAGAAACGTTATGCATGTGAATAATTAATTATGATATTTTTTGAGGTAGTGTGTAAGCCACCACGCATAGATGAAAATACCCGCAAGGTCGACATTTCTATGGTATTGTTTATATTTTAAAATTTTGACGCGAATAATAAAAGAAAAGATATTTTTTTTGATCTATTTACATAATGTCTAAAAATATATGTAATATCAAATGAATATCCGTTAATATTTCGGATATTTTTTTGGATATTTTCACAAAATGTCCAAAAATACTTGAATTTTTTAACAAAAAAA